AATGGGCGGACCACATCATTGTATTGCACACCTCTAAAAAAAACACAGTGCTCTGATTCATAAATATAAAAAGATCCTCTGAGGAGGGCACTTTTGTGATGGCAACTTCACTTCTAGGGGTGAGTCTAAGGAGTTTCGTGCTGGTTTAATTAGTTTCCTTTATTGTCCTGCCGTGGGGATTAACATTGCTTGGGTCGGCCGGGGAGAGAGTCACTTGATTATGTTTTAAGCGAGAGAAACGAGCAGGACTTCCATTTCTCAACTACGACATTGTATGTATAACATATATTGCTATTTATATGTTGTTTCGCTTTTGTTTTGTGTTTGCGAGTGGTTGTATTTCAGTGGTTAAGATTTCGTTACTGCCATACTTCAGTCATGTTGAGGTCGTACGATAAAAGACAGCAAGTTAAAGCTGTTCTTCGAATGCACCCGGTTCCCAAATATACCATCTTTGCTTACCTTTTAACTTGTTCTTTTGTTCCAGGAGGAGCCGAGATTGGGGTCGACTCCTTTAGCCATGTTGGCTGCGACGTGTAATAAAATTGGGAGCCCGAGTGCTTCTCCTTCCTCTATTTCGGATAACTCCTCTTCGTTCGGGAAAGGATTCCACCCGTGGAAACGAGCGGCAGCCAGCAGCTGTAGTTTGGGATCCGGTTTATCCTCTTTCGCTCGGAATGGTGGTGGTTTAAGCGACTCTTTTGGCACGAACACTTCCACGGGATCCAGTGCCTTTTCCTTAACTTCTGGTACTTCATCCAACTCCCATTACGGAAACGACTACTCCGTTTTCCAGGCGTCGGTTTCCAACAACTCCCAAGAGCCCAGCCACCAGCCCATGTTTATTTCCAAGGTGCACACGTCCGTGGACAGTTTGCAAAGCATTTACCCGAGAATGAGCGTGGCGCATCCCTACGAGTCGTGGTTCAAGTCCTCGCACCCTGGCATACCCACCGGGGATGTGGGCACCACGGGCGCATCCGCGTGGTGGGACGTGGGAGCCGGCTGGATTGACGTGCAGAACCCGAACGGAGCCGCGCTCCAGACGTCCCTTCACTCCGGTGGGCTGCAGACTTCTTTACACTCTCCTTTGGGGGGATACAACTCAGACTACTCGAGTTTAAGCCACTCTGCCTTCAGTACCAGTGCGTCCCCGCATCTCCTGACCACCGGTCAGCATCTCATGGACGGATTCAAACCCGTGCTCTCCTCGTACCCGGACTCCAGTCCCTCTCCCCTGGGTGGAGCGGGAGGTTCCATGTTGACAGGGGGTCCGACGGCCTCGTTGGCGGGGTCTCCGCGGTCCTCAGCGCGGCGCTACTCGGGCAGAGCGACGTGCGACTGCCCGAACTGTCAAGAGGCGGAAAGGCTGGGTCCAGCTGGCGCGAGCCTCCGCAGAAAAGGGCTACACAGCTGTCACATTCCCGGGTGTGGGAAAGTGTACGGCAAAACGTCGCACCTCAAGGCTCATTTGAGGTGGCACACCGGAGAAAGGCCGTTTGTGTGTAACTGGTTG